GACAGATAAAAAGAAAAGACTAGTTAACAACGATTATGATAGAAAATTATAATATTTTAATTAAAAAACTTGTTTAAAGTTTTTTTTTTTTTTAAATTCGGTTCTATTACGAACAATGCTACAAATTTTTTTCTTTAACACACGCATTCATGTACCTTTAAATCATGGGACATCCTTTATAAGTGTGAATATTACTAATTGCGGAAATAACAAAAAAATTCTTATCAATTTAGACATGTTAAGTGTTTATTTATTTCTTTACATTAAGACTTTTAAATAAGTAAGTAAATCTATGCTCTATATATTAGAGCATTACATATATTTTACCAATTGACTTTACTCATAAAGTTTTCTCTTTTCGATTAGCAAGTTTTCTTTTCTGAAATGTGTGCAAAGAGATGACAGAGAATGCATGATAATTTTTGTTGTGTTGTTTGATGTCTTTACGTGGAAACTCTCTTAATTAATTTCTCTGTACGTCTATGTGCTTTGTCTTCCAATCATTTTATTCTCTATCAATTATCAGATACAATGTTCAAGGTGCACTACTTGACTAGTTCTATTATTATGTGTAAACTTGGAGAAACCTTTGTTTGTTAATGGATATAATAAAGTGCTTATTCAAACTCACTCGAATAAAATAAAAGCTCGATTTTAACTATTTCATGTTGCTAAACTAATCATCCAAGCAAAAGAGACAAGCAATGATTCTCCATAGATTTTAACTATTATGAAATTGTTGTATATTCGAAGAGGGATTTCAAACCTCACATTATCTTGTTAGCATCGGGTTTATAAAGTATAAACTACAAAGTGTATGCAACTAGTTTGTATCTGAATTCGATAAAGAAGTGTTTTATGAGTTAATTGAATTGTAAAATAATTAACTCATAAAACACCTTTTTTTTTTTACTTGTCTCACCTAATTCATTAACTATACGGCCTGACTTATGAGTTTTAATTTAAATTATTATTAATAGTATTTATCCAATAGCCTTAAGATATTAAAATATTTATGCAAATTAAACTAATTTATATTTCAATGTTTATATATTAAACCAACTCATTGAGTTAGTGAGTTGAACCAGTTAGCATTTTTCTAACACACTCTGAAGGTGAACCAAATTGGATTTGTTCACTGTTAAATTCAACCTATTGTAAGCCAACTCACATGATCAAGTTGGATTGGTTCATAAACTATTTCAATTTAAGAATGTTAAGATAAATATAAGGATCAATCTTATAAATTTAAGATACAATTGTAATTTTTTTTATTTTTTCACTTATATGTTTTTTTTTTTATATTCACACATTCTAAAAAATATATTTTTTAAAAAGAGAAAATTAAAAAAATTCCAAAGGTTTTTTTTTAAGTATATTGTAATCTTAATTAGGACGGCAAAAAGTAGGCTTTGCTGGCCTAAAACGAAATGTGTTGGAAAAAAAAAATCAATTATTTTGGTTTTTTACTATGTATAAAGATTTTTAAGGTTAAAATTTTGATATGTACTTTGTCATTTTTTTATATCAAGGGTATTTTTAATAATAATTTAAAAACATTCTCTTTCTTTAGCAAAAAAAAAAATTCTCTTTTACATAAACAAAATATTATTTTTCAAGCGTAAACATCATTGAATATTATTAAGAGACAAGTTATTTATTAATTATATGTTAAATTTTATTATTAATTTATTTTTCTTTTCGTGTAGGTCATACTAATCCTTTTGGTACAGAATAGAAAAATTGTAAAAATATATTTTAAGAATATATTTGAAAATTAAGTTTTAAAAACATTTTATTTTAAATTAATATATATATATATATAATATTTATAAAAAACTAATACATTAAATTTATAGTAATCCATTGTTTTATTGTTATTTTAAGAATTTATAAAATTAAAAATATTTATTAAAAAATTACCTTCTCTTCTGTTCTCTTTAAAATTCAACTCTCAATGTACTTTTGAGTATGTGTTTGAAAACTAATAAAATTACATTAAATAAGATTTTAATATAAAAATTGCAACTTACAATGTTTAAAGAATTCACACTGTAAACTGCAAATCTATTAATGGGTGTGTTTCATTTATTTATGTATTTGACACTAAGTTTGAAGTGGGAGATTTCGATTTTGTTTTGGGTCTGGTAAGATATGAGTGAGACTAATTAATCCATGCACGTATTTATTGATACGATCATTAAACCCTCTTAAAAAGTGGCACCTCTTTGGTTGAAATTTTTATCCTTTCCTAAGCTTTGGTCTTTGCTAATTAATAAGACCCTTGTCAAGAAGAGTTTTGCCATATCCTTTTATATATTTTTTTATAATCTTATAAATTAATATTAAATAAAAATACCATATGTATCATCTTAAAGTATAAAAAAAATATTTAAAAATAAAGTAATGAAAAATAACTCTTAAAAGTGTCTTAACTTAAGATAATTTAAAAAGTGTTTAAAAATAAAAACTTGTATTTGAATATAGATTACATATTTTCCACCCTGAAATTTCAATATCCACAATTGTATTATGAAATGTAAATATTGAAAGTGGGAAGTGGCTAATATTGTTGTCATCAACTCTTCCCTTTTTGGTCAAATTGTGTTTTTGGTCCATTTTACCTCCATTTGGTCGAGATTGCTATTTGTATTATTTTTTTATTTGTATAATTTATTTTTTAGTAAAAAAATATTTTTAATATATTTCAGAAATTAAATTATAAAATTTCTATAAATGAATTTTAAAATTTAGTTTTTTTTAAAATTAAATAATCTGTTTATATTAGAATAAAAACTGATTTTTGTAGAAGTCAGAATTTATCACTTCCATAAAGAGTGCCTCGGCTTCTGCGCATAAAAAATGATAGCCGTTTATTGCTAAGTAATAAACCAATATGCTGAAAATTTACTTTTAAAAATTCAATTTTAAAATTAATTTTCAAATGACAAAAAATATTTTTCATAATTTAAATTTTTAAAATTATTTAAAATATTTTTAAAATTTTTAAAAATGTATTAAATATGTTTTTAAAAACAATTAGAAAAATAGTGCCAACGACAAAGGTAACGTGCTCATGTTGAGGGGTATTTGCTCAGCCTCCATAATGGACTAACTAGACATCTACGTAGACCAAACCGAATAACTACCACATCCAAATGACCCAAGCCCATCAAACACCGTGTCATAATTCAATTAAATTCCAGAAAGTATATACATAATTTTTTTTACAAATTATATTTTTTTTAAATTGTTTCATAAGAATTTTTTTTTTTTGAAAATTTTAAAATATATATAGTATGCCTAAAAAAGTATTAAATAATATATTTTTATGTTTACTTTAAATATTATTTCTTAGAAATACCAATTTTTTTTAAAAGTACTTCTCTTCTAAAATATCTTTTTACTATCACAATTGATAATTTTCTATACTATTAATTCATTTTATTTTAAAAATTTATAAAATTTAAATTACAATAAGAAAAGTGTGTAGAAAAAAATAGCATAAATTATATTTATGATTGAGGAGTATAATTATATTTTTATATCATAAAACAAAATTTACTTTCATGGAAATTTTAGATTCTCACCCGTTCCATCAAAATATTTTTTTTGAAAAACTTGATTAAAAAATATTCCTAAAAATATTTTTAAGTATTCATATGAACATCTAACACTCAATTTAAAATTCTTAAAAAACTAAAAAAAATAAAATAGCTAACCGCTCCCTGAGGGCTGAGGAGGACCAAAAATTAAAATAAAATCTGAACATGTAGAAGATTTCAAGGGCATAGTTAATTCCGACCATCTATAACTATAGAATTTTGTTATGTCTTAATAATCTTTCTACTATTTTATAAAATATATTTATTTATTATCTTAAAACTTTAAAAAACATTTAATACTTTTTGATTTAATAATTAAAAGGATTTATACAGATAAAAGGTAAAATAAAATAAAATTAAAATTATTTATAACAATAATATTACCAAGGGATTCTTAGTTATTTAAAAAAATTTAATACTTTTTGATTTAATAATTAAAATGATTTATACAGATAAACGGTAAAATAAAATAAAATAAAAATTATTTATAACAATAATATTACCAAGGGATTCTTAGTTAACTCAGTTAGCACTTGACATCTACAATATTTCAAAGTGATGCCATAGTTTATTCAAAACTCTATGCATCTTCAAAACTTCAGAGGAAACTTCTGCACTTGAAATTTGTCAAGCCTTTTTCTTCTCAAAGGCATAAGTAAAGAAAATAAAACGGCATTGAAGGTTACCTTGTCAATAATTTTTTAATATGATAACTTATGTTATAAATTTATTAATATTTTTTAAAAATAAGTTCAAAATAACTTGTTTTAATAATTGAGTCAGAATTCGATGATGATAGTATTTATTACATAGTTATACCATTTAATGATTTTTTATAAAATATAAGATTAATTAATCTAATTATTGAATGATCTTATATTATTTGTTTTAACTATGTATATCAAATTTCACATAATTTAAACATTTATAATAATATTATTTAAAAATTAATATTTTTTATATTTTAAAAAATATATTACTCGTCAAAATAAAATAACAGTGAAGTATCTTTAATTTTATTTTTATATAAAACTTTATAAAATTAATTTACTTAAAATTTTTTGAAGAGATAATTATATTAATTAATCTTATATTTAATTAAAAAAGTAAATAATGTAAGTCTATCCGTTTGAAACTTGATGTCAACAGTTTTTTAATCTAGGAAATTATACCAAAAGAATTATCAAAATAAACTAAAAAGAACTTATAAAAATCATAAACAATTTTCGAAACCTCTTTTAAACATTACCCTTAATTTGCAATATGAAACAGTTTATTTCCTGTTTTACAAATCATAAATTCTTACTTATTACGTTATATGTACATGGCTAGCAGTAATGCGATTGAAATTTGAAACAAACTTGCATTGTTAATTTAGAGTTTGAACATGGTTCAGTGCAAACTTTCACATCTATTAGTAAGAGCAGTGCTTACACATGTTTTCTCTTGGCGATGATAGCTACAAGCCTACAAGTGCTTTTCATAACTGGGAACATTGTTTCACATTGAGCACAAGAAGTACTCCTTGCAGTAATTAAATAATAATTTACAACAAATATCACCACGCATACATTTTATTCCTGAGGTATACATATTGAGGTAAGAAAAAGGGTGCACAGGGACAAAAAACCAAGAAAAAAGGAAGGTTATCTCAATTGATGATTTTATATACACTACAATACAACAGATATGTAAAGGGCACCTGCCCAAATAAAAATGGAAGACATTTAACATAGAGAAAAGGTGAGAGAACAAAAAGATTGAAGATAGAAAAAGGATAGACAACAAAACTCAAAAAGGGTGCCTGGTTCCTTCATATTCATTTCTGATTTCCTACAAAGCTCACTGCAACAAAAAGTGTTAATGGAGAACTTCCCTCCACCTACTTCCCTAAGATTATAAAACAGGTGAACTGGCACCCTCAGCCCTATGGGCCGCCTGGCTGGCAGACTTGTCAGTGCTACGAACATTGTACCTTTCGTATACCTTATCGCGGTTCTCTGACCACCAAGTCTCTGCTTGGTGCTCACCAAATCTTCTCCGGCTGCAAACACATTTTCCGCCAAACATATTACACATGCAAGACTAGGACTGCAAGTTGACTTAAACATATTAGTTTAAAACAGTAATAATGATGCATGGACCTAGTTAAAGATACCCACATGCAGAGTTGGCATAAGTAATAGAACTATTCACAAAGCAATTGACCAAGAGTTATAACCATCTTTAAATTCCAAACTTTTTTTAACCCACCTAATCCCAACCACTATATTGACAATTATCATTGGCAAACTATTGGAGGCTGTCTACAGTTGGCAGTCATGTATACTGATAGAATTAGATTAACATAAGCACAAAATAAGGAGCAATCTTCTTACCTGAAACGCACTCGCTTCAGGTCTCTTGTTCCATCACGCAGGGCGACCAGTGTTATATAGACACCAGGTTCGTATTGTTCAATCCATTCTGCCTCAATTTGACTGTTATTAGCAGGCGATGCTGCATTCCTTGATCTCAAACCGTTCTCATCGTCTTGGAAATTCCCAGAATCCCTACCATCAACAGTATCTGACATAATACTGCTGCCTGTCTGAATTGCACCACTGCCATTTGGTAATTTAACATCAGGGTAATCATCTGTGCCATTTGAGGTAACTACCCCCCGAATTTGCTGGTTCAGATTAGTTCCATAGCTTCCATGCAAAGTACCCTCAGTTCTATTCATCAGAGAGGCTTCAAATCCTATGGAAGCCAAACTAGAGCCACTAATTGACTCGGCTCTGGTGTAGCGTTCCCCATTTAAGTCTGGATAGTGGATGCCATTTGGCTCCTGACCATTTGGCAGGTAAGCTGGTCTGATGTTCTCGGCATCATAGACACCAGGAGGAAGCCTCTCAGCCAGATCCTTGAGCTGAAATAATGTGACAGGCCAATAAGCATGAGTTCTGAACAAAAAACCAGAAGGAAATGTATGGAATTTTTCACTTTAAAGAAGACAAGGGCAAGGTAACCTGAGTGTGCATGTTACTCCCTAGTCCCTCCTCCCACCAAATGAAACAATGTAAAGTATAATATAATAAGAAACCAAAACCAAATCTGAACAGAATTTAAAATGAAACGACCAACAGGAAGGGAAGGGAGAAAAAAAACGCGCCTCATTTAATCCAATAATAAATTTTCATGCAATAAGATTATGTTGCTCAAAAACCAATTGTAGATATCCTGTTACAATTAGAAATTTTATGTAATAGATTCTAATATGATAGATGGTTTAATCTAGGTATTCATTTTATTCAAATGAAAACAAGAAAAAAACAAATAAACACTGCATTACATATAGCTACAAACATAAATCATCACAGGCACATGAAAATAAACTTTAAAATGACATTTGGCTCCAAGAAAATTAAATTAACAAAAAATTTAACCTGTGCTGTGAGTGACTTTATAACTTCTTTTGCAGCCTTAGATTTGGCAGATTCGTCAGCAGCTAGTGCCATAGCTTCCTGAGTCTTTTTTGCTGACCTTTGAAGCTCTAATTCTTGCAGTTCACATCTCTGACTCAAGGTCTCAACCTAATGAAGTTTATGTTAGATCTCTCTTGATACCATAAAAATATATAACCATAAAGACATGAAATTAACATTTCTAGCGTAATAATGCTCATGTTTTACATGGTTTATTTGCCAGACTCAAACCTAAAGTAGGGGGAAACAATTAAAAAGAAGGAAAGGTATGCTATAACTTCTGCTACTTGATTTACACGAGAAAAATGGGGGAAGCATAATATACCTGAGCACGTAACTTCAGCACTTCTTGATTCAAAAGTTCGTTTGTTTTCTTTAAACTATCAGCAATGCTTTTTGAGAAGGAAAGTCCTGATGTTGTTGGAATAGGTGTAGCTGAACGAGGTGGGCTTGGTCTTCTAGAGAAAGGGGACACAGACCTGGAACTCACTCCAGATGATGTAAGAACAGGTCTTGGAGCTGTTCGCTTCAGATCAATAGCAGTAGACAAGACAACATCTTTGAGCTGTAGCAAAGATGGTGCTTGTGAGGCACGAGCCAGCGAGAATGTATCAGCCTTCTTCCCCTGTTTGGCTGCCTTACTATCTAACTGCTTAATCAAATCCATATTAGAAGGAACGGCTGTCTTTGACAATCTTAGCTCAGACTTTTCTAATCTGTCCTTGTTTTCACCTGACAAACGAGGCATGGCATTCCTCCGATTATTATTGCCAGATTCTGCAACCTTGTTCAATTTTACATAACAAGAATCACAAACACGATATGGCTTCCCAGGATTAGGAGCCAGGGCAGCTCTTAATGCTTTCCTAGAACTACATGCATGGCAGTGCACGAGTCCACAATTATAACAGTTGTGCCTCTTTCTAGTGAACCCAAATGCCTGTCTACAAGCAGAGCATTGAGACTGCTCAGCACCAGATACCCACTTATGAAGGCATATAGCAGCAGAGTAGTTTGAACCACATGCAATATATTTCACATGTCTATCCTTCAAGGCTTCAACCAAAGTTGGTGTTTTTCGATCCTCAACATCTCCATGACCCAATCTCCCATTTGCACCCTTTCCCCAAGTGTAAACTTCATTTTTGGATGTTAAAACAGTAACATGATAAGCCCCACAAGCAATTTCTTCAACAGATTCTCCTGCAAGCTTGTCTTCAACCAAACAGGGCAGCTTTCCATCAGACTGGGGATTCCCAAGTTGACCATAAACAGTGCTTCCCATTGTAAAAACATGTCCAGACGTAGTCAGACCTACTGTCAAACTGTGCCCACAAGCAATTCTATGGAAATTATAATCAATAAGTGAAGGGACACAAGTTGGTTCAAGCCGGGCCTCCTTGTCTCCATGTCCAAGGCGATTTTTATCTCCATCACCCCAAGTAAACAACTTACCAGACGATAAACTTGCACTTGATTGTGTCACAATAACCTCTACAACAGCTGCAGTGTGCCACACTCCACATGCAACAGCTATTGTCCTCAACCCAGACAAGGATTCTACTTCCCTAGGATATGAAACACTTTCCCGGTCTCCATGGCCCAGGACACCAAATGTTCCATCACCAAATGTAAAGAGCTGCCCGGTTGAAGTTATCAGGGCTGTGTGCCATGGACCACAAGTGACTATAGCAACTTGAAGGCCCTCTAGTGGACCTGAAATTCTCTTTGGTATCCAATGACTAACATCAGTGCCATGACCAAGAAGGCCAGCATTATGTGTACCATCACCCCATGTATATAGTTCCCCAGCCATGGTAACAGCACAGGAATGGAATTCTCCACAGGCAACAAAATCAACAGTTGTAGAAACCAATGCTTCAACTAGACGAGGTTGAACCACATTCTTCCCAACACCATGGCCAAGCCTTCCTCCGGATTCTTCACCCCAAGTAAAAAGTTCACCTTGCCTTGTCACCAGAGCAGCATGCTTTACACCACATGCTATTTGAAGCACATCTAAGACCACATTGGACTCCAGTGGCCTGGGGAGGAGAATATCTGCCCTAGGACTAAAATAACTGGCATTTTTATCAGCACCAACTTTCACAGTATTCTCACAGATAACCTCCCCCCATATGTATACATCCCCAAGAGCATCATAATCATCAGGTGCAGACCCATGACTGGATGTGCTGGGGGCACTTGAGACACTAACACGAAAAACATCTGAACTAGATCCTTTCACTTGCATATTTAATGGATTTGATAGTGCATGTGACCTTTCAAAATTTAAGGTATTCTCTGACTGAAAGGAATTTGGAGACGTGTTTGGCTGACTAACAGAAACGTCAGGAGAACTGATGTCACGTGAAGCACTAACTGAACTTTCACTAGGACTATTTGATGTCAATTCTCTACTATCCTGAAAGTAAATGAGCCAGAAAGAATTATATGCATATTTACATGTATTTTGTCACTCAACCATACAACAACAACCAAGCCTTATCTCACTTTGTCACTCAACCATAATTGTGAGAAATAGAAAAAAATTGGCAAACTTATATATGCAGTCCATAATTTCCAAATAAATGACATCACCATAGAAAAATTAAGTAGGCAAACACCACAATCAACTATTCTTAAATTGGGACCATAGAAGAGCAATAGTGAGTGAGTGGCACTTGGTTATAAATCCTTTAAGGATAAGATTAGATTTCCTCAGAGGAAACAATAATTACTCTTCTAAGGAAGCAGAAAGTGAGAAAAACACTAAGTTCTTATGATTCATTCAAAACATTTGTTCCAATTAAATGATGAAACACATCACTACTGGCTCAAGAGTAAGATCTATCATCTTTCCCAGTCTATACCTCATAGTACAAGACACATGACACAAGTAAAATGAAATTATTACAACAACAAGAAGTAGGTGTTTTTACATCAAGATATAGGCCTCCATCACTCCATCCATCAATTTTGGAACGCCCACCTTGACCAGAAGATATCAATCCCTTGAGACCAGCAATCCACACCTCTGCCTCAACTTTATCCTTGCAAATCTGAAGCACAAACAAAAAGAAAACATTACATAATAATGAGAAGTGTACAAAATAGAAACAAAATAATGATGCAGTTATCCATGGATTTTCAGTATCTATAACCAACCAGATCAAGGGATCGCTTGCCGTTGTTATAAATAAGTGAAAAAGACAGATAGTCCTTCTCAGGACGTAGATATCGTTGGAAAACAGCCTGACAGAAGATAAGGCAAATTAATCAAATAGCAGAGAAGAAAATGTTTACAGAACAATTTTTTAAGATCACTGAGTTAATCACAAAGCATGCCAAAACATTAGTATGATATAAAACAGTAGTATAGAAATCTCACAGTTCTTTGTCCAGGAATAATTCTTGAGACGGATGATAGCTTCAAACTTCTTTCTCCACTACTTGAAATCCAGATTAAAGATAATTCATCCTGTGATTTTCAGATGTTCTAATGAGTACAATTAGAAATAACTCAAACAAGTGTCAAAATCTAAGCATAATGTATACACGAGCAGCATTAAGTTTTTAGTCTACAACCAAGGAAGCAACAGAAAATAAGCATAATACCTATTAACAATCACACTAAGAAACATAAGTGCCTAACATTAAAGCTATCACTATTAGTTAGCACCACACTGAGGACATTATGCCACTTTACTACTGATTATGGTAAACCCAGAATGTAGTATAAAAAACCAACAAACTTTTTCATACCTCATAAACTCTTGAACCTGTTACTTAAGAAACCAAAAATCTGTGCTAAATCTCTATATTATATATAGTAATAGTAATAAATAACAAACAATGACCTGCAACCTTGCACTGAGAAGCAGAGAAACTGATGAGCCAAAGAAATCAGGAAAGTGTTGATTTTAGCCAAAAAGCGCACTTTTTATATGTCATACTAATAAAATAAATAAAGATACATGAAGTTGTAGCTATCTAATTCCAATGCAGTAAACAAGGCTAGCGCAACACCCCCCCCCCCTCCGTGCGGGCGCGAAAAAAGAAGAAAGAAAATGGGATGAAAAGATTAGGAGCAGGCTGTATTGTCAATACATTAAAGTTTGGTCAGAGATCACATCTTAATAGTCACTCCCAGCTGACAAAATTAAGGACATGGAAACACAAAGCACAGCAGTATGACAAACCTTACTCCTACAGAAGAACGGAATGGTGCCTTGTAACTTGTAAGGCCCACTTACAGAAATCTAACTCCAATCGCATTTGATATCATTAGTAGGACAATAACATTATCATACTATGTAGGGACAACTACGTGTATCAATGACTGTTAATATAAACAAAATTTTCAATAAAACTTTTGTGTTTAGTTAATGGTTTCAAATACTACATCTCTGCTATCCAGAGCACATAAAAATAGGTTTACTATGTAATAACAGGGAAATTCTTTCAATACCATATTTTTCATATAGCATCAGATAACATGCAAAAGTACCTATCTTTCACAGAGTAATTGAAATTGAGCACATAAACAGTTGAAGTTAGCCCAACCAAAAAGTTAATAAAGCTAGTGATGTAGAGAATAGAGAATCCACTAACACTTTCCTGAAAAGGACTTCATTTAACTTACATTGGAAAGTCTAAATGGACAAAACTTAGGTTTTCCCTTACGACCATATTTAAGCAGTTGAGCACCCTTTTTCAAAGCAATCAAGGCCTGCAGAATGAAAAAGTAACAAGGCAAACTTCAGGAAAGCTTAAGCAGACATTTAGCATAAGGTGCTGCATCAAATTTTATCACTAAAACACCATCCTATTAACACTTAGCAGCCTGTGCTAACACAATACATCATGGTACATTAGTCCATTCGATACAAATACAGACAGGCATGCCGTATCTTCATTTCAAGACACCTCAATCGAAAACAGTTGATAAAGCAACAATCTATTAATCAAATGAACCCGATTTAATCAACCACAGCTCTTCAGAAGGGTAAAAAATAAAAAACTTCAGTAGAACAAAGTGAAATTTTCAATCAAAATCTTATCCTTATTCTAATATCCCAACACAAAATAGACTTAAATTCATTCACTATGCCCTCACTCCCATACCCTCACACCCCTCAAATTTCCCAATCAGTTCCAACAAAGAAACACACAACAAGCACCTGATCATAAACATCTCTTAACATTCCCAGCCACCCTAAAAAAAGGATAAAAAAAACTTGTACCATAAAACCGAGTTCCAAATTTTGACCAGAAACAGAAAGAAGCATCAAAATTTGACTAAAAAATCTCAACTTTAAGATAAAAACAAGTAACTCACTCGGTCGATGTCACGGTCGGCATTCCTGTAGCTAACAAGATCTGCCATTCCATGTGAGAGATTCACCGAAACACCACCACCCTCTGCGATCGATGCACAAAGTTCCGTACATCATAATCCACAACCTCACTCACTCTCTCTCTCTTTCTTTCTCTCTTCACTTTCTCTCTCTGAAAATCAAAACCCACTTCTTATTCGCGCTATAGAATGCCAAAAACCTTCGCGGATCTGTTCCTCTTCACAGAAACCCAAAACCCAGTAACCCCATTCACAATTCTAAGTCAAAGACACAGCTTCTTCAACTCATGCAGCGACTTCAACCCCGTCCGCAGTAACCCGGTCGAAAGGCCTTGGTTAGAAGGGTTAGAATAAGGTATTTCGAGGATTTCCGGCGAAGAATGTGGGTTCCGGCGGCGTCGCCGAAGCGGGGGGTGGAGGAGACAGAGGAGAGATAAAGAGTTTTAGAGAGAGAGAGCCTGTAAAAGTACAACTAGTCAAAAGAAGAAGAAAGAATAGAGAAGGAAAAAATGAAAATTAAATTTAAAATATAAAAAGTTTTATGTGTGAAATATATTAAATTAAATTTGGAAAAGCAGAAACTCTCCTGAGAGGTTGAAAAGAAATGAGAAGACATTTCCAAAGCACAAGTCCTATTCTTTTAATCGGTTTTATTACCTATACTTTCTTCAAAGAAATTATTCAAGAATTTTTTATTTTAAAAAGTATAAAATATATTAAAATATATATAACATTTAATTTTATTTTATTTTTTGCTTTCAATGAAAAAATATTTTGTCATCAGCAAAATAAAATAAAATTTGTCATATTTAAATTATTAATTTAAGACAACAATTAGTAAAATCACTTTTAACTATAATTACTAGTTAATCAATTATAATACTTATTGTTTTTTTTGTTTGGGAAAGTGGCACGTAGTAGGATGGTTGGGTAATTTGAAGGGGGGCAAGGCAGGTTATTAAATAATAATTTAGTTAAGGTTATAATAAATAAGAGAATGGCAAAAAGGTCCTTGACTTGTATTTTGGTTTTTCTCCTAAAGAGGAAAAAATATATTTTTTATACATTTCATATATCTTACGCAATATTTACGTTCTGTTTATATATTTTCGAAAACCCTTTAATTAAAATTAAAAAAATTGTGTTATATGTGTTTTATAATCTGTGCACAGTTAATTTAAATCTTATATTAAATATCATAAATTATGTTATGTTTGTAGAACGCTATTTCAAAGAGACTCTTGAGTATTCAGTAGCTTAACTTGAAAGTGAGATCAGAAGTTTACAAAATAGATTTTAAATGGGAAAAAATCTATAAAAAGATTATCCTGTTCATAATTTCATAGTTTTTATCCATTACACGTACAACAATTACTATTATATCATAAAAATTTCTAATTTAAATAGGCATTATCGTATTCAGATTCTTTTAATGTTACGTAGTCATATTTATATAATAATATCAATTTTCACAATAAATATTTACATTCTTTTAAATATAATTTGGATTTTTTTCAAAACTAACATCATATAAGAACTAAGTAAGAAATCATGCCAAATCAGTTCTGAAAAATAAAAAATCATACAGCGGGACAATTTTTTTCGCATATTAAGAACTTATTAAGTGATATAGCAATGACAAAAACGTGGCAATTTCTTTTAAATTTTATTAAATTAGTGTAACTTTTTTTAAAACATTGAAAAGGTGTAAGTTGTCCCCCATTTTTCATTTTATTTCATCATGAAAAAATTGTGGCCGTTTAATAATTACTATAAAAAAAACCACCTCAAAATATTTATGAAAAGAAAAGAACAACATAACGTAAGTTCTATTTTGATAATATTTTTTAAGTTGCATTATACTGGAAATTATTGGGGGAATTAACCCATTCTGGTAAAAAAATAAAAAAAGGAAGTGAGCTTTCTATATGAAACCAATATAAATTTTAACCAAATAAAAAATTATTAAAAAAATACTAACACTACCATTTTTCTAAAATCAAATAAATAAAGTGTGGAATTGTTTTTGGTAAAAGTAAGAGCAGGATTTCTTATTATTATCTGGTGCGGAATAAGATTAGAACATTAATAAAACGAATTATTAACTAATCGGTCCCAAAATAGCCTATTATTCCTTCTTTTTTTTTTACAAAGAGAAATAGTTTATTATCTTAATCTTATTATATATTAATTACATTTTGGTTTTAATAGTTTTATCAACTTTCATTCTTACAATAAAATTAATAAATATAATTTTTATTATATTTTTATATTTTCAAAAGAATAATATTTTTAGGCATAATTTTAACACTTTTAACTGTTTATAATTTTTTTTTATTTTTTAGAATGCATCATTTATTTCAAGGATTGAAATTATATCTTTTGTTGGAACATGAAAAATTTCCTCATTTATGATGTCAACAATAAATGATTTAATTATTACATTACTACTTCGATGTAATACAGTGCAATTTACTTTAATAATTTATATTTCATACATATTTAGACAGAAAAATTTTATAAATACGATATATACTATTTGATATTAATGACATTATCCGATGTAAAACGTCCATTTAAAGATAGATAATATGTCCGGTCATATTAAATATAAGATGATAATGTTATGTAAACAAAAACTTAAAACCTTTAGAAAGTAATATTGTTAATTTTCTATTTATTGTTCTGAAAGGGAAATAATAGTTATAACTTTGACATAGACATAAAACTAAATAATTTTGTCATTTCTTAGCTAATTAAATGTTGTATAGTCGCCCATATCCTCCATTGATAGCCTTGAAGTAGGAAATGGGCACCACTATTATTGATTACATATTTTCCATTTACCATTAAAATATTATTTATTTGAGAGTTTAATCGTATTTTAAAAAGTGTGAGAAAAAAGGGATCTAATTTGTTTTAATTGTTTAAATTTAATGATAAAAAAAATAACTTAAAATTTAAATGATATGTTGCATATTGAAATAAAACAATGACATAAAACTTATTTTTTCATAAGATTTTTTAATATAACAGTTAGATCAATAAAAATAAAATGATTAAAATATTATTTTATTAAATTTGATATTTGTCCTGATCGATTTACATGATATAATAATCATAATATAAAAATTTAACATTTCTAAAATATTATTGAAGTTATAATTTTATTAAATTTGAGATTCGATATCAATTTATCACCCTCCCTCAATATGTGTAATTTGATTAAGGGAAATTTTTTTTTTTCCAAAAAATGCACAAGTCATGTTACAAAAAAGTTAAATGTAAGAAACTATCTAGCCATATAAGGTGTGGGTTTGATGCATTTACTTAATTTATTTAAGAATCACTCTGATGATTGAAAAAATCTTAATTATCTATTTAGCTAATAAATAAAATTTTGTTAAATTAATGACTTCATGTGTAACTTAGGCTATGTTTAAGAGTTAAGTTTAGGAAGGGAGAAGGGAGGAGAGAGGAGAGATTAGAAGGGGATTAATCTTGTTTAGGAGTTGTTTAATTAGGAGGAGAAATTTTTGTAGATTTTTTTAAACCTTGTAAAAGCTTATTTTTTGAGTTATCTCATTTTGGAGTTTTTTCTCTCCCACTCTTTCATATTATTTTATAAATAGGATTTTTTAAAATTTTTTTTAAATGTTAGTTTTTCAAGTAATAATTTTTATTTATTTTTTTAAATTTAACCTCCTTCTCCCTCCCTTCTCTTTCCCTCCTTCTCCCTTCAAACTCTCCCTTTCTTTCCCTTCCAAACTCTCAAACAAATCAATTTTCATTTGTCTTTTTAACAAGAAGTTGCATGCAAATTTAGGGATGTTTCATTTGTCTTTCAATTAAAAACATAAAATACTATACTTTTAATATTTTGTATTTATTTTTTATCACATGTCTTTTAATACACATTGAAAAAATTATAAATTAATAACCAACACTAATAATCAATAAGAACAATTGGAAACGACGTAACTTGGGCAAACCTTTTAGATCTAGCTAGCTACAAACGACAGTAGGTGATCATAAATGGTCATTGCAATGGCCAACAATGTTCCATGCTTTTTGGGTTTGGTCATGTTTAGCAACAATGGTCTTTCTCAAAATCAAGTAGAAATCATAATTGAGAAGTAGCCTCTAGAGTTACGCATTGAGTGAACAAATCCAAACAACTACAAAAGATGAGATTTCATTGAAAGGCCTTGTTTCAATTTTATATTCCAAGGCTGTTCACCAAATGCAACCTAAGAAAGTAAGAAAGGTTATACAGAGTTGTGAATTTCATATAATATAAAAACTTGGTTTTTCTGAATTTAATCGAATAAATAACCCTGGTTTTATATTTTAATAAGTAACTTGGTTTTAAAATTATATAATGGTTAGAATGCTTCTGTACAAAGTACTGAAAATTTTTTGCTAGTTTTTTAATAAGTAAATGAGCAAAGTTGAATTAAGAATGATAAAAAATGCTTTTCTGACGCCATAAATGATCAATATTTGTGATTTGGTAGTTGAGCAACAACCTTATGTCTGGACAATGTTGCCACGATTGTTGATTGTGGAGAAGAATTGTTCTACAGCCTCAATTTATATATACTTTGTGATTTCATTTTGTTTTAATAATTGCTTTATGGTTGGATATATATATATACACACACAAAATCACGTAAAAATTTATTGGTTCCCGTTGCAAGTACTATGTTTTCATTTATAACAATTTATGAGTTTAATTTTATACATTATTTGTTTTATTTACTCATTGAATAAATTGACAAATTGTTAAGACATTAAATTTAAAAATAAATATTTTAACCACAACTTGTACTCCTTACTATAACTAACGCTACAATTAGTTTGCGTTAGACCAAACATAAAGAGGAGAAAAATTAAGCCAAGAAAGTTTTGCAGATAACAAAAGAATTTCATGGTGGGCATTGCTGCATATAGTAGGCTAGGGAGATGTTGGTTAGTGGAAATAATTACACAATTACAATAATAGGAACATGATCACCTTGAAAGCCGACTTTGTTGATTTGGAATGATTTTTGGTGGGTGAAAAAGTGAGTAAAATCTCGATGCAAGAGAAGCAAAGCTTGGAATGATGAAAAAGAGAGATGAGAGAGAAAGAGAGAATGAAGATGAAGATGGTTCCAAAATCCAAAGGCTTTGCTTTGGGGACAAGAAGCCAAAATTATATGGCGAAGGTCCCCACTTGATTTAACACAATCACACTAACCAACCACCCTTGGTCGGTCTCTTGCTATGCTCATGGGACCCCCTTTTTTTTTTATTAATTTTCAGACAGAAAATAGAATGCAAGCCATTTTCATTAAAAGGATCAACCATGCCGTTTAGTACACCAAATTTTCTTATTCCTTTCCTTTTCAAATCACAACTCTCCAATTTGTCTAAGCTAATTTTGAAAAATCAGTATTTTTATTTAGTTCTTTTCCGTAAACAAGATTTTTAAGAATCTGATATATTAATTATAAGTTTTTTTATTATTGGAATGGAATTAAAGGAAAATATAATTACTCAAACCTTATCTATAATTTATAGATAAGTTCGATGTATTTAAGATTGTGACGAGACACATACAAGTCAAAGTATGCAAGTGTCTTTTTTATTTTTTCAGTATTTGTGTTTATAAACTGAACAAAAAAATCACGTGAATCTCTTTATACTATTTCTTTCTCTTTAGCTACCCTTTTCTATAAATGCGATTATTTTTTCGTATATACAATAAATACATAAATAACTTAACACAATTTTTTATGTACCACCCATAACTTCAATTATGTCTCGCTTAAGTCAGACTATACTTACGTAAAAACATCTAAATGACGCATACGGGCCACATATATGCATGTTTTGAAAGAAAATACTAATAAAAATCATATAGCATATAGATCATAAAACTAAAATGCTTGTCACTTACAATACACAATTTTCATTGATATTAAAAGGTCTTGTTAGAATACAGGTTAATGAATCAAAATAAAACATTTTTACTAAACATTGTACTTAAAAAATAAATATTTTTTTACTCATAATTTCTTAATTAACCTGTATTCTAAAAGTACCCATTAGCATGTGCCATTATTAAATTATTAAAATTTACACATTGGAAAAGAAAAGTGGCATCCAAGTTGGCAAAACTTTGCCAATGGGCCTTAGGCCTTACAGCACCCACCTCACTCACTTGGTCCAGAGAGAGAGAACTAGGTGTGCTTGCAACATTCCTAACATGAATCCTATTTCTTTTGTTGCCATTACTTAAAAAGAACATTTGGTTGGCAGCCTTTGCCTTTTGTTGTCTTACTCATAGGTAACTGTTGTCATCGTCAACAATAATAACATAAAGCTTAGCTTGTTCCTTATCGAGTACATTCTAAATTTAACTGAACATTATTACGTCAAGCCTATATAATCCCCTAAATTTAACTTATATGTAAAGGGTATAGAATGGGTCTAATGGTGGGGCAGGTAACCCATATCAAGTGCGAGGCTTTCTCATAGCTAAGTTGGAACATCTTACCTACCTTTATCATGTTCAGATCAACCACGAGCATAGCACAAAAAATTAGTACTGTCAGTTTCACACAACACTCGAACACACAATTATATGTAGTTGCCCTTGCACTTTGTTAAAGTGATTCCACTCATTTGTTTTGGAGCAAATGCTTTTAAATACGTTGAAGCAAGTCATATTTTTGCAATGTTAAATTCATCTGTTATGTTGTATAATGTAAAATGTTAATTTTTGCGCCTTTTTATGATATGGCTATGTTAAATTCATTGGTCTTTAGATACAACTCAAACATTTGCTTTCTTCTTAAATACAATTATAGATTTAACATATTATATATATATACTTGAAATCAAAATCCAACACAATCAGAGGACCATATACAATGCAAATGTCATTTCTAAATTGGAATTATTTTTAAAAAAATTAATTTTATTAGAACTAAAACTAATAATTTTTTTAAAGGATCAAAATAATAGTTACAAATATTATCAATACATTTTACCTTTGTCTACATATATATATATATATATATATATTTAAATTATTAATGTATATTCAAATTTAGAATTAAAGGTGTGGACAGAAAAAAAGAAATTAAAGGTGGAAAGAAGAAATAATTAATTTAAAAATATTTTTAAATAAATAGATATTTTTAATTTAAAAATTATAAAAATAAAATTTTAAATTAATATTAAATAAAAAAATATTTAATGCAAAAAAATTACTTGGAGTCGCTTGATATTTTTACATTTAATTTAATATTTAAAAGATTTATCATGTTTTTAATCATTGTAAAAATATAACAATAGAGATTGTGAAAACTCTATCAAGTCAGTAAGGATATTAAACTGAAAATACAAAAAAATGAAATAAGTAAATAATCTAAGACGTGTGACAATAATCTTTTTATTAAATTAAATGTGTTTTCTGAACTTGGTTTGGACGTAAATAATCTTTAAAATGGATTCTCGTACATCTCTAACATTATTATACGTGATAATCAATTGTTCAATTAAATATTTAAACTCAAAATTATCATATACTTAATAATGCTCTTTTAGAGTAATAAGGCCACGCCAATCAATCGTGTGGGAAAAAGAGAAAGATGAGAAGAAGTGGATTTAATATATAATTTACTATTTATTTATTTTCTCTTATTTTTGTATACCTCTTGCTAATATACTTTTAAGTTTTAATTATTAAAATAAAATTACATTAAAACATTTTACCAAAATAGAATATCGTATCTCTCTTTCTAATATATTAGTAGTTAATAGTTTGGGTTAAGTTGAATTTGAAAAAAAATCTCACTCGATTCGAATAAAATATAATGACTTGGGTTAGATTAGATAGTTGAGTATTTACATAAAAATAAAATATTTTTTATAATTTACGAAATTTAATCATTATCAAATTGAATTAAAATAAGCTATCAATAAATATATACAAAAAATTGATTTATGTTTAAATAATGGATTTGTTATAAAAAATATATTTAAAAATATAAATACAAATATTATAAAGTATTTTAATTTTTTTAGATAAGGTTTATTCTGGTTCAAAGAGTTGCAAAAAAAACAAACTTAATATCCGAGTCACAAATGATCGAGATCAAACTCTTTACCCGAACTTGTTAATTTTTGTTTGGCTGGATTAAATTGAGTTGACCGAGTTAGTCGGGTTTAATAAAATAATAATAAAATTTTAAATGATAATTAAAATCACTGATGGGCTTAATTTTGTGAAGTGATTAACGAGCCCAATGTATTAATTAATACCGAGGAAATGGGCCTAGCCGTAACCCGTTGACAAATATATTGTATTGAAATCCCAGGGTAGTGTGGGAGTGAGTGATAATGCATGCACCTGTTTCACCTGTTTATGATGATGATGATGATGAAGATGAATACGGCGGAGTTTTTCTTCATGATTCTGACGTAATCCATGAGGTTTCCATGGACAGTGAAGATCTTCCTGATGCTGATGCCGATGCAGATGATGGTTCTCAAGGTACGCACCTACTTTAATTTAAACTCTTCTAAACTTTAATTTTAATCTCTCTGTCAAATTCTTCAAATTTGAATTGAGATGTAATATTATTTTAACAATTTCAGAGGAGGAGGGAGATGACGATGACGGTATCTACAAATTCACTTCTCATTATCGTAAGGTTTCTTTTTTGTTTGTGCTATGCTCATTCTAACCCAGCCTTTAACTACGATGTATTCAAATCATATTCACAAATTTATATGCTTTTTCCCGTTCCTCTTTCAAATTTAAAAGTCACCTATCACATGCATGCACGGGTTGCCGCTAATTTCTGATATTTCCATGATTTTTTGTATCATTGTATATCGGGACTCCCAGCGGATGAAGATTTTGTTGACCAGTATAAATCAATCCATGAATGTTCCATGGACACTGAAATTGAAGATGAAAAAGGTATGATCTGGATATCCTTCAAGAAAGCAATTTCTATCTGTCCTATCTTGTCTTTTCTTCAAAACACACTGAACTGTTATTTTATATAATATATTTTTATTAATGTTGGAATCAAGATCTATTGTTTTTCACTTTATTACTTGCATTTGTCAGTATTATTTTTTTTTTAATTTCAGATGAGAAAAATGATGATTTTATACCAAAATTCACTACTCATACTGTGAGGATTTTTTTTTTTATTTTGTGTTTGTATGATATTTTGTGTCATGTGTATGCAAGGTGTTACCAAGAATATATGATATCTCCGTGCTTTCTTGGATTATTGTATAGGGGTGTGCGCAGTTGCCTGCAGCCCAACAGATGCAACATTGGTGGCTACAGGGGGTTGTGATGACAGAGGATTTCTCTGGAGGATTGGCCAAGATGACTTTTTTGAGATTCATGGTAATTTGCATGAGCTACTGATGGATGGATATTGTTCTATTTAGAATCAGTGTAGCATGATAATTGTCAAAGTCAAGATCATATCACATGCAATTTGTTGAATGTCCAAATGAGTATGATATTAATTCCTTGCAGGTCATAATGACACTGTAGATAGTTTAGCATTTAGCTATGATGGACAGCTTCTTGCATCGGGAAGCCTAGATGGAATTGTTAAAGTCTGGGGTGTATCTGGCAATTGGGAAGGTAAAACACTGGAAGGTCCTGGAGGGGACATTGAGGTGAGATTCTTACTGAAAACAAGGTGATGGTTTTTGTAATTATTAAGGGAAAAAAATATCAGTTGAGAATGAAAACATGAACCAAATTTATTTTCACTTTTAATTACAAGTTTGTCACATTATTTTCTTTTTGTTTCTGATTTTAGAAGATTTATACCAAAAACAGTAAATATATAAAGTAAAGCATACATCGTTTCCTAAAACCAAACAATCCCTTAATTTTCTTGTCTTTTCTGTTTTAGATAGTTACTAAGTTAGTTTCCATGAAATCTCTCAGTGGCTCAGATGGCATCCAAGAGGACACATACTCTTAGCTGGTTTTCTGGATTCCACTGTTCGGATGTGGAATACAGATAGATCTTCCTTACTTAATACATTTACTGGTCATAGCCATAGAGTAACCTGTGGTGACTTTACTCCTGATGGTAGTAATTTCTCTTCATCTCGGTGTATTTTTCATTAAATGCTGTTATTTTTGTTATCTATTTTCACTCTTCCATTTCCTTTTACCTGGTCCCTTAGGAAAAAAAATATGTACTGGTTCTGATGATGCAACCATGAGGATATGGAATCCAAGAAGTGGAGAAAGCATTTATGTTGTGAAGGGTAAGTAAATTACACTTTATAGTGTCTTTGCTGTTCATGAATAATAGGCTACAAATCGTTGATACTAAGCCTGCAATATTTTGTGTACGTAGCTTTCAATATTGAAAATACTTATGCTTCAACATAAACAAAAGCCCACTGCTCCTGGCTACCAAAAATTTGTTGTATATTTCTTCTAATATATATGTGCTGCTGCTTCTATGGAAGGAAAAGAATATCTATTTGCCTCTCCTGCTAGTTCATCCGTTACTTATTCATTTACATATTTTTTTTTTGTTTTTTAAAAGCTTGAATGCATTGTCAATTATTCATAGTAGCTTGGGACAACATTCATGAGGGAAAATTTGAGATATATCTCTTCATAAAGAAAATTGATTTATAAAAACTCTATTTTCATAATCAGTTCTCCCCTGTCCCCCCCCCCCCCCTACAATTTTTCCTTGCTTTGGTAACTGGCTAGAATTTGCTTTTTAGGTCATTCGTATCATGATGATGGATTAACATGCTTGGCAATAAGTTCAACCTCAACTCTTGCTCTTACTGGTTCTAAGGATGGATCTGTCCATATTGTGCATATCCCCACCGGAAGAGTATGTGTTTTTCTTATTGTATTTGATATTCACTGCACTATTTTGTTTAGTCTACTTGTCTTACCCTGTGTCTTTATTTTTGGGTATAATGTCTCCTTATTTTAAAAACCTTTGGTTGTGTCTTGACTCTTATTAATGTTCCTAAAATTTGGCCATACAATTTCACTTTTTCAAGTTCTATATCCTCCTAAAATGTGGAAGCCAATAGTTGCTAAAAATAAAAAGGTTGAGATAAAATATTCCTCCTAGTGATTGACACCAAATATCTTAGCATTTATTAAAAAAGAGTAATGCCATCAAAACACTCTTGTCAACAATACTCTTCAACATTCATTTTGTGATTGTTCAGTTTTTTAACTGTGGTAAATTACAATGACTTTTTATAATGAACCAATCATAAATTGTGCATTGAAAAGTGTGTTTAACAAAATGTGGTGTTAGTATTTCTCTTAAAAGAATGACAATATCCAACATCAGTTGCAATGAGTTAGGTGATAAAAATTTAGCAGATTTACTGTTGGCTCATAATTTCATCTTTCCTTTCAAAGGCTTAAGGAATTATCATGTGAACATGTATGGGAATGTGAATCAGATCAAGGAGCATTTAGTAAGACTAGTTTCGGACTGTATGGTACCTTCCTTGAAATTCTATTGTCACAGTGGGAAGACTAGTCTGAGTGGTGCTTATTGCTTAAAGCTAGTTGCCATCTCAGCCTCAGTATGGGTGATTGGTATATTATGTTATACTCAAATATACAGAGTTATAGTTTTGTAGTTGATTTGTTTATGGAATTTGACCAACTAGAAATTCAGTTTGGTGATTTTGTGACCTAGTTCGATTTTGAAACACAAATATCATGTTTGACAGGTTGTTGATAATGGTGCTCTTGGTTCTCATGCAGATTCTGTTGAGTGTGTTGGGTTTGCACCAAGGTATGTGTTCTCATCCAAACTTGTCGTAGCCTGTCTGTGTGCAATCCAGCACATTTTCATGTACTTGTACACTTTTTGGGATTATGCATGTCCACAAGGAAACACAAGATTGTTAGAAGGGATGATGATGGTAGTGGTGTTGATGGTAGTATCATAATAATAATAATATAACAGGTCCCCCAATACAATGTTATAGTCTTATTCATTATCGACTTGCCCTGACATTCCATGACTTGGTTTATTATAGTATAAATAACCGCAGTTTTAATATATAACTGTATTTCCGAGGAATAACAGATTGCAAAATGACCCAAATCTTGCTTAAATTTTGAGTAGTTTAAACCTGTGAAAATTGGAGTTATGAGCAGTTTGTACTCTTAAATTATATGTGTGCTGTCGATTTTGTTGCTTAAATTGTATGACAGTGATTCCTGGGCTGCAGTAGGAGGCATGGATAAAAGACTGATCATCTGGGATGTAGAGCATTTATTATCCCGAGGCACTTGTGAACATGAGGTTTGTTCTTCGCTTGTTGGAATTATTTGGCTTGAAATTGTAAATTTTTGTTCTTAGGAATTTTGCTGTGTGGACAGGATGGAGTGACATGTTTGTCATGGCTTGGTGCATCGTGTGTGGCTACTGGTGGTTGTGATGGTAAAGTGAGATTATGGGATAGCCGGTCTGGAGAATGTGTAAAAACATTCAAGGGGCAAACTAACGTCATTTCATCTCTTTCTGTGTCTGCTAATGGGAATTACCTTGTATCGGATTCGTATGATGGAACAGCTCGTGCTTTTGAGGTTGGAAATTTCCGATGAATAAAGCGTCTTGGATCTTTGCATATGATATGACGTTGTCATCATCCAAGCAGAGCCCTTTTCTGGGAATGCCCCCAATGTACGTACAAGTGGATTGTTATTCTACTGCAGAAGCCGGATTTTAATTTTATGCCGAAAATAAAAACAATAGATTGAGACATTATAGAACCGATTTTTTTTTTAGATTATTTTTTCTCTTTAATATTAGTTTTAATTTTCATACTAACCCAAAAATTTAGTGTGTATGCAATGGAAGCTGAATTCGTTGCGTTAACATGATCCCGAGGAATCAAACAATAATCCCCTAAAAGTTTGTCAGCGACGTGTCAAATCCGCTTTGTTGTTGTCCTGCAAGTACAACCAACAAGGCTGTAGTTATTGTCTCCAGATCATAGTTAAAAATATAAATGAATGGACTTTCAAACTCATCCAAATGTATTATCTTATTAATTCTTTAAATAATATATTAAAATATTATTTTTGATATTTTAAAATTTTATTAAAATATATTAACAGTGTAATGGTTAAATAGTTAAATGTAGAATGACTATTGCATGATCAGGTGCAAAATAATTTAAATATGTTTATATAATCTTTTAAATTAGTTTTATTAATTTTTAAACTCTAAAATTACAAAAAATTATACTTTTTCATATTGCGAGGCTTTCTCATAATATCATTGAAAAAAGAATAATTATTCATAAAGAAATTCATTACTAAAACAAAATTAGTAATGTGTAAATTAATCTTCACGAATGAGTCATTCAATAAATATATAATGAGTTCAAAAATTTATCTTCTAATAATAGTCTCAACACTAATGTACCTTAAACAACTATTTAATTGGGTTAAAAAATTCTTCATTTTAAATAAATAGATTTCTAAAATTAATATGCCCTTAGCAACTCTATTAATAAATTACTCCCAATTTTGACACACAATAACTCTCTAATTGTGGCTATATTTGATAAAGGTAACTTATTTAGGAACTTGAAGTTTATTCACTTTATCAATAAACTTATAGAATTATTTAATATGTAAAAAATGAAAAGAGTTAATAGTTTTGGAAGTCAACTTTTCAAAATCTAAAGAAGTATTTAGCTTTCAAAATCAAGCTATCAATGTTTTCATCCTTTTTTTTACTCTATTTTTTCTTAAGAAATCGACTTACTATTTACACAACTAAAATATACATTCATCTCACTACCTTTTTGTTCTCTTTACTTTTACATAGATTATGTATCTTCTATTAAATGTATTTTATATTAAAAATTATTTTTATATTAATATTGATTATTAAATTGTTGATCTTCTGTGTAATGAAATTAATATTCTTCAAATAATAAATCTCTTGAAGATAAATATTCATTGCATTATCATTTTTACTTGATGATATCTAGTTTTAATATTATATTATATAATATTACATATCTTTTAAATCATTTAACATATATTAGTTAGTTGTATAACTAATAACTTTAATTTAATAAATTACTTATATAAATTTATATAACTTTCAACTCGTTTTACTAAATAAAGTTTATACTTAATAAAACAAAATATTCATAAATTAACAAATAAACTTTCATAGATTAAAATGAACAATTTGAAAGTAATCACCCAAAAATAATTTATGAAAGTTATTGCATAATAATCAGTTTTTTTAATCCAAAATTATGATCTATCTATAATAAATTTCGTTGAATAATTTTACTATAACATTTAAATAAACAAGAACCATTACATCATGTATCAAGGGATAAAATATAAAACTTTATAATAACATCTAAAGAAAATGAACAATACTAACTTTTGAATATTTTAATTTATGTATATGAATTAAAATCAATAATTAAATCACAACAGTAACAAAATTATTATAAGAATCTTGAAGCAAATATACACATTACGGTAATATATTGTTACTGTATTGTTAGTGCATTTATTTTATATATTATTTAACCCTAGATATTGAACGAAGAATTAGCTTGGCCAGGTTTGATCTATTATTGAATACGAATGTACATGTTTTCGGACTAAGGAATAAGTAAAAAATTCAGAAACAAAAGTAAGGAGAAAGGAGAATTCAAGAACATATAATTGTGCACAAAATTAAATTAATTTGAAAAAAAGAATAGAATTGTACAAACAAGGAATACATGCAATTGAACACAAAACAAGTTAATTTTTAAAAAAATAGAAAATTTAGAACTGTACGATAAGTATTATAAATTTTAACATGAATTAGGGTATTTATTCTTTTTAATGAATTAAATTTGAATCTTAAATCTCTTCTAATTTAGAAGAAATATAAATTAAATAATTATTTTGACTAAGAGATAGGGATGATATTTTTTCTTGATCCTTTTGTTGAATTCTTTATTTTACGATAGAATATATCAATTAAAATTTAAGAATTTTTTATCATTAAATTACATATTTATGAATATATAATTTATTTTAAATTAATATTATACGATTAAATTATATCAATAATATATACATATATAAAACAAATGTATATATGAGCTATTGTTGGTCCCGTTTCACGTGAATGCGTAAGTGTGAAACTTTTTAAGTAAATAATCTTTGATGAAAAATGAGTTAATTTTAAAAAAACATTCATTGTAAATGGTTAAAACTAAATTTAAACAATTAAAATAAAATAAATTTCCTTTTTTTCTCACTTTTTAAAATACGATTAAACTATCAAATAAATAATGTTTTTATAGTAAATGAAGGATATGGGCGACTATACAGCATTTAATCAGCTAAGAAAGGATAAAATGATTTGGTTTTATGTCTAATGTCAAAGTTATAATTAGTATTTCCCTTTCAGAAAAAAAAAATAAACAATATATATTTTCTAAAGATTTTAAGCTATTGTTTTACATAACATTATTATCTAATACTAAAGTATGAAATATTAAATATTAAAGTAAATTGCAATGTATTACACAAAAGTAAGTAGTAACGTAACAATTAAATTATTTATTGTTGACATTGTAAATGAGAAAGTTTTCATGTTCTGACAAAAATATCAATTTCAATACCTTTAAATAAATTATGCATTCTAAAAATAAAAAATATTAACATTACAAACAATTAAAATAGTTTAAATTATGCTTAAAATATTATTCTTTTGAGAATATAAAAAGTATAAAATTTATTATATTTATTAATTAAAATTTATTTTTTATTTTTAACATGAACAAAGAATTTTATATAGAGATTAAAATTTATGTTTATTAAATCGGCTCGCTTTGTCTTTTTTATACTTACTCTCACTTCTCACTCTGCTCAGTCCGTCCATTCGTCCATTCTCACTTTCTGGTTGTATTCATAATTGATTTTCTTACATAGTGTCCTATTTTTGAGACACTTGGATTGTTATCTCTGAACAATTTAGAAGATTTTATCTGGTGGCACATCTTTTTCTATCTTTCCATAAAAATTATCACACAAATAAAATGTGTATTCAAAGTTTGGAATTCCATGATTTCTAATCCTATCTTTGTCAGAACTCATTTGTGTAGATGTTTCTCTCACTTACCACAGTTTCATGGCTTCTCATGTGTCTCTATTTGTTGTTAAATATGTGTTTGATGTTAGGGTTGCATCCTTAAAAAACAAAAAATTATTATTTAGTATTCGTAGTTGGAATAATCATGATCAAATTGCGACAAAAACATAGAGTTTGGAGGCATTGGTTACGATGCTATAGAAAAAAGATACAAAGCTATTGTTATTTTTACATATCATAAATATGAAATGAGGGAAGCAATGTTACTAAACTTCGAAGGCAGTTCTTGGATAACTCACACTTACGTGAGCATTGGGACCTTTCTTGAAAAAGTTCAAGGGGCGTGTTTGCTTCTCACACCAATTATAACACCTTAAATTGGTTGGCTGTGCAGCAAAAAAATTTCAAGTATACAATTGTTAAGTTCAACCTTAACAAAGAAGAAATAGAAAATATTTGTCATCCTAGCTGTTTTGTCAGAAATACATAAGAATATTTGAGTATTGGAATTCTTAGAGGATATTTTGTGATTTGTCACAAGTTTCACGGTACACATCTTTGGATAATGAACAAATACAGTAGAACTAATTCTTGGGTGAAATTATTTTCGATTTACCATCCTTTAACACTAATTTGCATGTCCAAGAGGTTCTTATGAGAATGAAGTCTATTTTATTATTTGTTTACAACCTAGAGACTGTCACTGGCACACACACCGTACAAAGTTGATGACATTCTTCCCAAGAAAGCTTTCTTAGGTGAGCATTACATTTTTGTCGAAAGCATGCTTTTACCTTCCTATTATTGTGAATTATTGACTCGAATTGATCAACAATTTAATCTAAGACGAGTAAAATACTATCTTAAGGATTATTTTGGTGTATTCAGAAATCCTCTAAGATACAACACACTCTTCTTCTCTAAAAATAATGTTATTAATAACCAGTAAGATTTTCAATTCATAATTCAGAGAAATAAATATAATTAGAAAAGTCTGTGCATCTTTCGTGCGATTTTATCAAAATATTTAAAATACTTTAACCACTATAATTGCTTACATAAATGTTACATATAACTAAAAATATAAGTATTAATAAAAATTAAATTAAAATAATAAAATAAAAATAGTAATTAATAAATTCTTTTGAAATATAATTATATATTTTTCAATACCTTTTAGAACAAAGAAGTTAAAAAAAAATTCACAAATAACAGTTAGTAGTATAGTTTTCTCTTATACATTGACATAGTTTTAATTTCACCATTATAAGTATATATTGTCAACTTAGTAAACAAAACGATTATATTTTCATTGTATTATATCTTCATTTCACTGTTTGTTTTTTTGCGCTCTATTGTTCAATTTTTAGAATGGTTGTGGAATCTGAATTTGTGACCTAGTTGGTGAAATTGTGAACTAGAAACTATCCATTTGTATTGTTTGATTGATCATGCATTTATTACACATTTAATGTTATGTGGTTACAGTCGCGGGACAATGCTTAATAGCAGCAAAGTTGATTTGACAATGTTCCTTAGAAACTTTCAAGGAATTATCCCATACTACAACAAGTTTACTAATTGTAACACATACTTTGGTCCAAACACAACACACTTCACAAAATATGCATAATAACCAAGAGCACAGTTAAATAATTAAAAATAAATCATAATATCTAAATAAAATTTAAAAAAATCATA